ATTAAGTGATGATACTTTATGTTATATTCTCAGAGTACGATCATTAAATAACATAAAGCAAACATTGATCATATTATTCATCATAAATAATTATAATAATATTGTATTTTGTTGATTATCTGTATAAATATAACTTATTATTTTTAGATGTTTGATTTCTCAATAAATTATTCGTTTAGAAATATTGAATTTATTTTCGCATCCTTAATTTTGCTTTCCCCCCATTATTTTTACCCCTTTGCCGAACGCTATACATGTATAATGGGATTGTAATAAACATTGAGGTAAATTACACACAATGAGTATTTATAGGATGCAGACACTTGTTTGATGGACACTTAATAATTTTGTTTAATTAAATGTTAGTAGTACCTTTTGCAATTTAATAGTTATTATATTTATTTAGTCTAATGTAGTTTAAATAGATTTAGTATTAAAATATATACTTTAATCAGCATGGTTTTATGCATATTAAATGTTTATTATTTTAACTCAACTATTATTAATATAAAATTGTTTAATTTAAAAAGTATTTTTTACTTGGTTAAAAATATTAATAAATGAGAACACGAGTACATTTAGATTTTTCTGCAACATTTTATCAATTCATTTAATTTATTTTTATAGTTTCATTATTTATAATTTATTATATATTATATTTATAAAAATTCAATATAGATTTTATTGTTATAATGAATACAATTATAATCAGATATTTAATAATAATCAAATGTTTTAATTGATATTTAAAGAATAATTTGTTTCCATTGTTTTGTATTACAATTGTCTTTACATATAATGTCTATACATATATCTTATTGTTTGAAATATAAAATTAATAATTGAATATAATTATTAAATTAGTTAATATTTTTGTGTTTGTTTTAATTGTATGTATACTTTATTTTAATATTGAAATTAACTTTAATATTGATATTATTAATTATAAAGGAGATTATTTTGTTTTATAAAACAAAATCTCGTAGAAAAGTGAATTAACGTTAGATTTCAGTGTATTTAACACTGAATTGAATTCCTTGTGATTCGCGACAACAGTCTTATCGATAGACCACTCGTTATGTTTGGCCAACACTTCCCGACACTCAGGTCTTTGTTTCCAATTCGCCGCCATTTTCTCCAATAACTCATTCATACATATTATGGATGTCTTGAAAAGCAAATCATTTGCAGCAAACGATTGGGTGCTATAAATGAATATAAAATTTAATCATAAGTTTAAAATTAATTACAAAATATATAATAAATAAACACAAACTCGTATATATTGATGTCAAGCAAACTTTGTCCAATTATTCCAAGACTATATATGTCTGACTTGTGGTTATATCTGCCATTATATACTTCGGGCGCTACGTATACACGTGTGCCGACAGCCGAGTGCTGGTATCGACTGGCAGTGTGTCGGCTCGGGTCGTGAACAGTGGCCAAACCAAAGTCACACAATTTTATGAATCGCCGGCTATTGTTGTTATTACCGCTTAATGTGTTGGCAATCAACACATTTTCGGGTTTAAGATCGCGATGTATTATCTGAGGTTTTAATTCATGTAAATACTGGACGCACTCTAAGAGCTCTTTGAATATTTCACACGATATGAAATACTCAAACGGATTCATCGCTTCGGCCGCCCATTGTCTGCCAAATGCCGGCCCTTTAGTCTCCAATACTGTGCGCAGACTTTGCGGGCAATACTCCATCTGAATGTACAGTCGATTGTTATTTTTGTCGAGCCATGAGTTGTGATACTGTACCACATATTGTGAGCTCAACTTTGCCAAACATTTTACCTCATCGACCACTCGGTGTTTGTGGTCATCACTTATTTCTGGTGATTATTGCATACAATATAATATATAAATACAAATAATTAACACTAGTAAATGATTGCAACTAGACACTCTTACCGGTATAAGTGACCTTTTTAATAGCGTAAATCTCTGCGTCTAATTTATGCTTCACTTTATACACAGTGCCGAACCCACCCCTACCTATCCGTTGGAGTTGATCAAAATGATGAATGTAAGAGTGGTTTTGCGGCTCTTCCTCCCCATCTGTCAAATAATAATTATTAATGATTTTTGTGTAAATTTATCGACGTTTTCATACTTACCATCGCTTATATCCATTGCGCTAAGACTACTGCCAAGACTTTAAAACACAAAATTAATACAAAAACAAACAAAAATATTTTGTGTTTTAATCAAATAATTTGAGCATAAAATCAATGCTTTCTTTGTTCAAAATTTTTCATTAAATGAATTAACAGTAATATGAATATACAGTTTGTATGTGAATTGTATTCATTGCCAACATTCATAGCTATTGAGTCTAAAGTTTTAACTTAAAACTTATTTATGACATTAGATTCCATGGCTAAGAATGATTTAAAAAAATATAATTAATGTACAGTATTATACGATTAGCTCATATACAATAAGATTATAATAAACATTGAGGTATATTACTCACAATTAGTATTTGTGTCCAAATAACACAGCAGTCAGTATAACTCACACCAGTGAAGGGCAACCCATATGAATAGAATTTAACAACACAATGTGATAATTTGCTAAATGTATCAGGGTCGAATTTTTCCAATTATAATTTATTTTATTTTAATAAACAATTAATTTGATCTGGTATTTGAAAGGCAGTTATACGGTATAATATTTAAAGGTATTAATAATTGGCAAAAACAAGAATTTAATCTAATTTTTATTTTATTTAGTTTTTTACACATAATATCAAAACAATTATGATTTCAACTATTAATTTAAATAATATTATTTGCATATTTTAATATAACATTAATAATAATTTATACTAAAAACACAGGAAATAATTAAATATGGTCAAAATCCTAATACATTAAACGGTTGTAGTTTGACCATGATCATTATTATCCTGCTTTTTGGCAATTCTGGTCCTGGCTTTACGTTTGTTGGGCTTCTGTTTATTTCGCATAGTATTAAAATAGCCAAACATTATATTTGTAATCATTGTTATAGTGTTGGCAATAAATATCATGTAAAAATGATGATGGTTGTTGTCCAAAAAACTACATGTATCCTTTGCCGAAAATACACCAAAATTGTTGCTATATTGTAAGGCAAGCTTTTTGACCACAAATAGCACCAAGGTCGATATCAAATACGTTAAAATATTGTTATTTCCAGATTTCAATTGATTTTGTATACGTCTAAACTTGTTTCCAGTTACCTGGGTCGTTTGATTAGTACCCATGTTAAATTGAATTTTAATAGTAATAATGGTAATGTAGATTATCGGTGGCGAACCTATGTCAACACTATACAGATTGACTGAATGCAAAATCGTCACACTATAATAATCACCATACCGTACATATACAAAGGACAATCGGCAAATTGGTTCAAGTTGGCAATCGGGATTTTACCATATAACATGAACAGGATTTTACCATACATAGAATAAGGAGTTCTCTGGTATAGTTCATATCTAAGCCACCTCGGGTTTGGCCGCAGTGACCATTTTTGAGAAATTTCAACTTATCCAATACTAACATATAATATATGAAATCGATGTAGAATTTAATGTAGAACTAGAAAATTGTAATATCACATCAGTGGGGTCAATAGACTTTATATTATTTATGTAAAACTGTTCAATTTTAGATAAAATTAGTAAAATAACCTATTATTCCTTAGCCCCTACTATCTACACCTACACCAAACACACCCCCAGGTCACCTTCAACACTCTAGACCCAATAGTCAACACCACTAATCGCGGACCAAAAATAAACTAAAATTACTCTAAATCTATGCACCCTATCGAGATGTTATTACGATATTCTAATTCTACGTTAAATTCTACATTGATTTAATATATAATATTCAAAAATAAACTAAAATTACTCTAAATCTATGCACCCTATCGAGATGTTATTACGATATTCTAATTCTACGTTATATTCTACATTGATTTAATATATAATATGTTAGTATTTGATAAGTTAAAATTCTTTCTAAAAGTGATCACTGCGACTGAACCCGAGGTCGGATGGTCTATGGAAAAGACCGATTTACTCCATATTTAACGTAGTTCAATCTCATACAGCAAATCGTTCTTAATTTGTAAAAATATTCATTTCCAGTATAAATAATAATAATGTCTGAAATGGTGATTATTTTTGTGACGATTTTACATTCATTCAATCTGTATAGTGTTGACATAGGTTCGCCACCGATAATGTAGATGATTGTGACAAACACTATACATTCCAGCCACACTCGACACTTACGTGATAATGATTTAATATTGACCATAGTCATCTAAGTATTAAACCAACTATCCGATTTGAGGCACAAATACTTTTTAACCCGATGGTCGTAATAATAAACATAATCATTAGCTAAATGCGGTACCCCAAGTGTTAGGCTTATAAGCCATACGATTAATAATAATACTAGCGTTGATAATCGGTTTATGCAATTCTTGAAACTAAAACCATGTTTGAATGTTAGGTACCGGTGCCACCCCAATATAACCATGGTCAATGAGTCCATATACAAAGTGCTGACATTCAGGTAATTGTGAACATTTTGCAATATACTCGGGAGGTTAGGGTAGTTATCAGACACAATGTAATAGGTGAAATGTATACGACAAGTGCGGACAACCAGCATGGTCGAATCGCCTATTTTCATGTTAAATATTAACCAATCGTATTGCGAACTATAGCTGACCCGTTCGGGAGCAGACCTGGTTCGGTGAATTGAATCCCATATGGTTTTTGCAATAACCATGTTTGAAATAAATGTAATTGTATCAAGGGCATACAAGATCGATATTATTATTTCATGACTATTTTCACATATACTAATCAATATACAGAACACAAAGAATTATTTAGCTAATTCCTATTCATGCATAGATCTTGATAAATAATGATAGAATGCTATTGTCTATAAAAATTACTGCCAGACATTTGATATAAAGGAATAATTGAAATAATCATGATTGTTTATTTAATTTAGTAATATTAATTATATTTTTATGTTACAATAATAAGTTACTCATGTGGATTTTATATTTACTGTACATTTGTGTATACTCGTAATTTTTTAAGCATATGTTAAAATTTAATAGTTAAATATTTAAAATTAAATAATAATTGCTTAATGCCGGCGCGCCTTCAGCCCGTTGTCGGCGGCCTAACCGCTGACGGCTGAGCGCCACTTGCCTTTACCACCGGCGACTAACGCTCGATGCCGGCGCGCCTTTAGCCCTTTGTTGTCGGTCTAATCGTCGACGGCTGAGCGCCACTAGCCTTACTAAGTCAGGCGATCTCCGCCTGAGGTCGACGCACTTGCCCTTCGCTGAGTTCCTTAACTATTAGGCGGCACTGCGCCGACCCCTCCATACCATCAGTAGCTCAACGGCTGATCACTCGAGGCGACTCAGCCTCACCCCAGCTATGGTTTGAACCCCAAAACGAGGTCCAATTCATAACAATATCATAATTATGTAAATATTAGTATTTTCTTATTGGCCGCCAAAAACCATTTACAATATTAATTGACTCTCTGATTAAGTTTTTATAAAGTTTTGTGTGAGTTTTGTGGAGTTTTTGTTTACGTTTATTGTAATTATGAATACAATTATGATCATACATTTAATTACAATTAAGATTTTAATAGACATTTAAATAATTAAAAGTAATTTTCAGTGTTTTGTGAAGTTTTGTATTACAATTATTTTCAAATATAATTTAATCTATTATGTCTATATATACAATTAAATCTACTATTTTACTGTATTTCTCACCCTGTTTTGCCCCAAACTTTGTCTGCACCTTTGATAACATGTACTAAATTGTCTCAGAGTAACCACAGCTCTTTATTAGTAGTATTAAAATAATAATTATAAATTGTAATTATTAATGCATTAATTTAAAATGTAGTTGCAGTGATCCAAGTCTTGTGATACACGGCTCACATCCGGCTGTACGAAAAAGAACACGGTTTAGAATTCGATGAGAGGTTTTAAATGTGTATCTGTTTTATAAAATAAAATTTGATGGAAAATTGAATTAGCGTTAGATTTAAGTGTATTTAACACTGAATTGAATTCCTTGTGATTTGTGACAACAGTCCAGTCAATCGACCACTCGTTACGTTTAGCCAACACTTCCCGACACTCAGGCCTTTGTCTCCAATTGGGTGTTGACATCATTGCCAGTAATGTCTGGTATAGGCATTGTATGGATGCCGTGAACACTGATTCCTTAGCCACATATGTTTCTGACCTATAGATAGGTATTAAATACATAATAAATATATTAATCACTTATCATAAAAACGTAAATATTAAATGAATTCCTTACTCCTGGAGATCAATACCAAACAATTCTTCGCCGATTACATACAGACTATAAATATCTGATTTATGGTTATATTGTTTACCCAAATGTACTTCGGGTGACATATACTTAATAGTGCCCACTATTGAGTGGTTATATCGGCTGTCAGTGTGTCTATCGATGTTGTGATCAGTGGCCAAACCAAAGTCACACAGTTTTATGAAACGATTGGATTTAATGTTTGAAGTAATTAAAATGTTGTCGGGTTTGAGATCCCGATGAATGACTGGCGGATCCGATTCATGTAAATATTGAACACATTCTAAGATCTCTTTGAATATTTCACATGAAATAAAGTATTCAAACACACTATTCATCTGGTCGTCGGTTTGTCTTTTGAAGACATTGGGTTTGTCTGTGAGAAGGGATCGAAGGCTTTGCGGACAGAATTCCATTTGAATATAGAGATGATTGGACTCAAGCCATGAGTTGTAATATTTGACCACAAATTCTGAGTTCAATTTTGCCAAACTTTTTACTTCTTTTAAAACTTTTAGTTTCTTTTCTTCACTAAAATCTAATAAAATATTTTTATAAAATTTTATATTTAATTTACTGTTTGATAAAATAATTACAATGCCGTATATTTACCCTCAATTTGTACTTTTTTAACGGCATATATCTTATCATCCAATCTATGCTTCACTTTAAATACAGTCCCAAAACCACCCGAACCTATGGCTGACATCTCAATGAATTGGGTTTTATAGTTACCATCATTTGTTTGCTCTGCAATAATATTTATGTTAAAACAGGGCATCGGTTGCATTAAATCGTTGGATTGTATTTCATGATTATAACTATTTATTTGCTCTGCATTATTACTTATGCTATAACTGGTCAGTGTATTATTGACTTGTTCATCATGTTGAAGTACTTCATCGTAGTTAGTTGTATTGTAATCATTTAAATTATTATCATTATCATCAATTTTAATTTGAACTTCACTTTTGTTATCCAATTGATCTTGATTTATATTTGTTGTCTCATCATGCAGTTCTTCCAAATCAATTGTATTATAAGTGATTTGATATTCATCGGCGTAAAAGTCAATAAAGTTATTATAATTTGTTTCGATTATTTTGTTATCTTTAGATATCTTATATATTTTATCGTCCATTAAAACACACATAAATTCATTATTCTCCCAATTAATCCACGAAGTAAATTGTGGTAATTCATCAAAACTATGTTCTTGTAGTATTTGTTTCGGAATCTTTTCAATCATTTGTTTAGTAAATAAGAATTTCTTTCTATAAAATGTTCCGCAAAAATACAAACCATTTGTTGTGTGAAAATATGTGCCAAAAATTGTCGACAATTTACGCGATCGCCGTTTTTCTGCTGCCGAAGTAATGGCCACTTTTCGGACATCTTTTAAAAACTCTTTTTGATACGATTCAATAGAATCTAATTCTTTATTCATCTCCAAACACACATTTATGCTAAAAACATCCAATTCTATGCGCGTGCAGTCTTCCAATAACATTTGAATATCTGGCATAATCATCATGATAGATTTAATTAATCCAATAAGACTAACTAATAAACTATAAGTATAGGTATGGGTCCACGATTCGCTGTATTCATCTGTGCCATTCTGTGCAAACGCGTAATATACTATAATCATATTACACATCGTGTCGACTATAGACTCGCCGTGTGAAGCGACGCATTCGTGTAGCGAATGTACTTTCTCTGATCTTATTTTGGCAAATATCGGATCAATCACTTTACGACTTGCAATCACTTTATCGACCACTTTAAGCACATGATCGACCACTTCTATTAGCGACCACATCGTGTCGGTATATTCGCTATCATGAGATACCGGCAACTCAACGAAACCATTTAGATTACGGTTCAATATGACTGTCGCGTTAACCAAATCGTTGGCCAACTCATGTAAAAGTCTGTCGTGCGTGGCATCTTTAGTCCAATTGGCTGCTGCGGTAAATAACTTACTTACTTCGGCGCAGTGTCTGCGGATCAAGTTCACCGTTGCCACTATCACTGCGCTAGTATTTGTTTGCTCACACAATTTATTACACGCCGAGCTAATTGTTCCGATGGCCGCGTCTAATACGTTTGTAACCGCCGGAGCCGATTGGCCACCAGCGGTGTCGCGGCCCACCAAATACGATAATTGGGCGCTGCTTTCAAGGATAACGGAAATCGTTTTAACCCATTCCGACAATTGGTTGGGGTTATTATCGACTATTAAATCTACCATAAGTCCATCAAACTTATCAAATTCCATAATGCTACTATAGTCCATGTCTAAGCATTTTTCATAATCCCAATCATTAATTGGTTCGTTAAATTGTTTGTCGAACAACGAGATCATTTTTTTCATGTGTCGAAAAGTATGGTCAGACTCTATCTCTTCCCATTGTATACAACTGTAAATATTTTGTAAATCATCGATAGGTTTATTGACGTGTTCGAGAGAACCAATGAGCTGAATAGACATTGTTTTCACATCGCTTATGGTTGATATTAATTGAGGCTTTAATACAAAACAATCTGTTATATTGTGTCCCAATTGGTTGTCATTATTAAAACCCCAACTGAAGACATGTCCGTCGGATGTGATGGCAAACGACGAGTCATTATAACAATAAATGGATTGTATTTTATGCTTATTAATGTCGACTTTAATTGGGGTATTGATAATTCCAATAATATCAATATCTCCGCAACCAATTTGTCCCCATATATTGCAACCCCAGGCATACACGCGGCCATCACTGGTTAGGGCCAGTGTGTGATGAAAACCACAACTGATTTGTATAATAATTTTATCAATAAAATATGATATTATCTCTGGTTTAAAATATAGTTCATATTTCATATAATGTTTTACTTTTCGGGCCAATTGTCCCCAATTATTATTACCAAAACCGTATATCATATTCATGTCATTCACTGCTAACACAAAGTCATACCCATTGACAAAGTCTTGTATGTTTTGATGACATAATTGTGGTATTATTTCTGGCGATGGTATGGGTCTGTTGTGTCCAAATCCAAGACATCCATTGCTATTATTGCCAAAACCATAGACCATATCATTATTTGTTACAAACAATACATTATACGTATTATTTAAATCTTGAAATATATGTAATTTTGCAATATTATGACTAATATCTGATGGAATTTTACTGCAAATAACAAATTTCTTTAATAATTCGCACATTATAATAAAATTTACATTAAATATTTATAACGTTGAATGAAGAGAATTAAATAAATTATATAAAATTTATTAGAACAGTTGTTATATTTAACAATTCTCAAATAATTATTAATATATCCTCTGTTTAACATTTTTATATACAATTTTAATAATTGTATAGTGCAACTTCTTTTGGAGAAACTTCTTTTTAGGAAATCCCTTTTTATAACTGACTGGAATAAAATATCTGTTGAATTTTACATATTTATTATGTTAACTTTGCGAACCTCCCTTTGGGAAACCCTGTCTATAAGAAACAGTTTTACTCTCAAACTAACCGTTTCTTATATAGAGGTTGCAGCGTTTAGGATATATATTTTATCTTAAAACACTTGAACATAAGTTGTTGATAACAATTGTAATAATCAATGAAACTATTATATTATAATTTTCAAGTATTATTGATTATTGCAATAGTCATCAAAACCTTGTTTTTAAGTGTTTTTAAGATAAAATATTACATAAAATATAACATAAAAGTATATGTGAGATACGAATTCAATAATTATTATATTTATTTAATCTAATGTAGTTTTGGTATTAAAATTTATACTTTGATCTTTATGGTTTTGCACACGTTAAATGTTAATTTTTCTAATTAAAAACTTAACTCTTATTAAGTTTTGATTTGAAAATATTTTAACTGGGTTAAAATTATTAATAAATGAGAACACGAGTATATTCATTTTTAATCTATAATTTTTATTTAATTTTATTTAAATAAAACAATTTACAATATTAGCAACATATCATCAATTCATTTAACTTATCTTTATAGTTTTATTATTATTCTTGATTAAATTATTGAGTGACAATATTAAGTGACTCTTTGTTTAAGTTTTTATAGTGTTTTTGTAAGAGTTTTGTTTGCGTTTATTGTAATTCTAATACAATTATAATCAGTTATTTAATTAAATTAGATTAATCCCTTAGAATTAATGCTTCTCTATTTTACCTTGAGTATAAATGTTATATTATTAAATCATTAAATGTTGATACATAAGCTTATGTTAAATTTAATAACTATTAATTCAACAATTAACATAATTATATCTAATACGATGGCATAGATGCAAATGTAAAATATAAAATATAAAGTGCGAAAATCTAGGTTAAAAAAGGAATAATTGGAGTCACCATAATTATAATGTTGATTAGGATTAATGAGCATAAAGAATTTTTCAATCCAAATATAAAATAGGTTTGCTTCTCGCATGCGACATAATCTTTAAAATAAACATGCTAATTTTATTAATAAATAATCATCTAGTATCATTTATACCTACATTGTATTTAGTGGCACATAATAAATTGAGTTAGGTTGCACAGCGATCGCGCCTATTGTATTTGTGAATTTATTACTATCATCATTCTTTGATACGTAATGATTGGTAATATTAAATAATTTCAAATAATATTTCAGCCTGATCCTATTGAATACAATTGAATACATGTTCCCACTATCTAACAAATGTTGAAATAAATTGTTTTCATGGGTTTTTATGTATTTGAATACAACTTTTCCAAACCCTTTATTTAAAGTATCCTATTATTAAAAATATAATATTAATTAATTATCAAATTTATATTAATAATAATTAATTTTATGTTTATTTACCATAATATATTGATAAGTAGAATCCCTTTCGACAACTATTTTGAGTCCATCTGTATATTGACTTTCAATTAATTGATCAATACTTTCAATCCTATGCTCCACAGGAACTGTGATTAATGAATATATTACTCCGGAATATAATATTTGCAATATAATTATCATTACGATCCAGGTGAAAAGTATCAGGTTATTGGGATATTTGTTAATTTGTTTGGAATAATTCTGCCGCAAATAAATAACAAATATATTCCAACACAACATGTATTTGAATAATTTAATTAAATTCTGATAAATGTATTTTAGCAAACAAAGTTTATTTCAAGAAAATGTGAAATTGAGAACAATAATGACTTATGTATAAATAAAATTATTGAATTTATTATTAAAATCTC